ATTTAAAACTTAACTGAAAATTCAGAAGTCCTGTTTTGTTCATCAGAGCCCAATCTGGCTTAAAATACATAAGATTCTAGCTTATTTCCAGATACCTCCACTTTTTTCATAAACCGTCAGGCAAAGTAAGAAAAATAAACTCGTAATACCTTCCTGCTTTGAGAAAACTAGCATGCCTGCCTTCTCTTGGGATTGCTACCCGTGGGGAGGTCGCTTTCAGTGGAAGCCATCAAAAAGGCCCCCATCCTGCACCCCCATGGGAAATGCAGATTTGACCTGAGAACCTTTTGACTTGAGAACCGCCTTCCAATACGGATTAAGTTCTCAAGTCAAGACCCCACTGTAGCATGCCTGCATTCTCTTGGGATTGCTACCCGTGGGGAGGTTGCTTTCAGTGGAAGCCATCAAAAAGGCCCCCATCACTCCCTGCACCCCCAAAGTGGTGCGGTCTAGAACTCCATTGTGTGTCTCGCACGGAGTGGCTTTTAGTTTTGCTTTGAAAACAGCTCTCTGAGATGCCCAATTTTTGTGACTTCTTTCGCAGAGGAGGTGAGCGAGGATGAAATGAGTGAAGAGGAGGAACGGGAGAATGGAGACCACATTCCAGTTGGTAAGAGGATGAACCCTGAAGCGGGTCCTGAGGCTGGCTACTAGATTAAGAACAATAATTATGTGCCATCAAGTCAATTCTGACTTAAGGCAACCCTTCCCACGGTTTCCCAGGTAGAGAATAGTCAGGAGTGATTTCTTATTCCTTTCTTCCGGGAGCCTCCTGAGAGACTATACAGCTTGCCCAAGGCTACAAAGGCTGGCTCTACTTAAGGGAGGTCCAGGGCCCAAGGCCACAAAGGCTGGCTCTACTTAGGGGAGGCCCAGGGGGTGAATCGAACTCCCAACTTCCGGCTCTACAGCCAGAGACCTAAACTACTCAGTTATCCAGATTAGCTGGCATTAAATTCATTTGTAGTGAACAACTTCTGGCTCTACAGCCAGAGACCTAAGCTACTCAGTTATCCAGATTAGCTGGCATAAAATTCATTTGGGGTGACGTTCACTGATAAGCATGTTGTCAAAATAGCGTGTCCACGATTTACGACGGTCTATCGCTAAACAGCATAAGTTTGACGCGGCTGCCTTTTTTTTTTTTTTTTTTAATGCCCTGGTTGTAAACTTTGGAGGGGATCCTGTAACATCTGCTAGCTTCCACCATTTGATTCTAACATTTAAAGTTACAGAGTCAAGGTTTGATCGGGATTCTGCAGGCAGCGAAGGAGAGGAGGAAGAAGCCGGAGAGGGGACGCCACAGTCTAACGCCATGACGGAAGGCGATTACCTTCCCGACTCTCCTGTGTCGTCACCGGTGGAGCTGAAGCAAGAACTACCCAAGTATCTGCCAGCCCTTCAGGTGAGACTGACCACACCTAAGTTTGGAAGATTCACCATCTACATTTTTCCCTAAGGGTAGCGGCTGGACCAGGCTAGCAGCATCCTCTTTTATTCTCTGAAAAGGCAAGGGGCTCCGTGGTTCAGGTGATCAGGCTCAGGAAGAGTTACTTTTTTCAGACTGCAGCACCTCCCAGAATAATTCTGAAAATCATAGAATAATAGGGTTGGAAAGAGCCTGTAAGGCCATTGAGTCCTACCCCCTGCTCAGTTCAGGAACCCTAATGTCCGACAAACGGTTGTCTAGCTTTCTCTAGAATAACCCCCAGTGTTGGAGAGCTCATCACTTCCCAAAGTAACTGGTTCCATTGTCTTACTTCTCTAATAGTTAGGAAATTTCTCCCCCTGATACTTAGCCAAAATCCGGCATCCTGTAACTTGACCTAAGTTTGTCTATGCAGAAGCAAGAAACTTCGCTCGCTATGTGTGTTGAAATAAAGAGCGTCACCAGATCGAATCCCGGTGTTTCCTGGTCCTGTTTAACTCCTTGCCGTTCCACACGACTCCGAGGCTTTCACGTTTACACGGGCCTGTGCTCTTCCTCCTCTTCCCTAGGGTTGTCGTAGCGTGGAGGAATTTCAGTGCCTGAACCGGATCGAGGAGGGAACATACGGGGTCGTCTACAGAGCCAAAGACAAAAAGACAGGTGGGTGTTCTTTTGAGGGATGTCCCCCTGCTACAGCCGAAGATCGGACGACTCTGTGGTCGTCCAGCTTGATAACATCTTTCCGGGGTCTTGGGTATGACTGCACATTGTAGTGGACTGTGGATGATGGGTCCTGTAGTTTTAACCACACTGGGGACCCTAGCATTGGGAATGATTGTCTTGGAAGAAGCCAAAGCGGGGGAAAGCCGTATGTTTCTCATTCCTGTTTTGTCTAGCCGAGGGTCTTCTGCTCCTCCTTGGGGCTCACAGGCTGGTCTCCTGTAAGGGAAACGTCTCTTTCATTCTGACATTCATCTGTAAAATGAGGTGCAAGGGAAACCGATCCTCCCCCGACCCCAATTGTCATGGAGGGGGCCGGCTTCTAGGATGTCTGCGGCAGAGATAACTTTGGCAATTGTTGTTCCAGACGAGATTGTGGCGCTGAAGCGGCTGAAGATGGAGAAGGAGAAAGAAGGGTTCCCCATTACGTCGTTAAGGGAGATCAACACCATCTTGAAAGCTCAGCATCCGAACATCGTCACGGTCAGGGTGAGGCCACCAGTGATCTTGATCTTGCTTTCATGTTTCACTCTGCAATCTTCTCTAAGTGTCCTTCACTGAGTTACAGTTATTTGGCAATCTGGAAGGTCTGGAGCCAATAGCTTGCTGCCTCATAGCAGGGTGGGGAGCATTAGGCCATAGGGCCAAATCCGCCCTATGGAATCTCGCAAGTGGCCATGCCCCCTTCCCCATCACGGGGAGAGTTTCCAACTTCTGAACAGGACTCTTTATCCCGCCCCCTTGAAAAAGAACAAAAAAGCCTCTCCTAAAACTTAGGTGAGACGCAGTGTGGTGTAGTGGATAATGAAGACTCAGGAGAGCCCTGGGTTCGAATCTCCGCTCAATCATGGAAGTTCGCTGGGGGTGTGGAACTTGTAAAAATGCTCCTTAAATAATGCATTTACCTTGAAAACCCTGTTAGAGTCGCTGTGCGGCTTGAGGGGAGAGCAGGCTTCGTTATTGACATTCAGAGCCTTAATAATGCATTTACCTTGAAAACCCTGTTAAAGTCGCTGTGTGGCTTGAAGGGAGAGCAGGCTTCGTTATTGCCATTCAGAGCCTTTAAGCTTCGGGGGAGGGGCTATTATTTTTGGCTGCACGTTGTCACTTGTGGCCATGCCTGTTGCAGAAATAGGGTATAAATAAAATAAATAAATAAATAAGCTTCGGGGGGGCTATTACTTTTGGCTGCACGTTGTCACCTGTGGCCA